TCTCTCCCTCTCTCCCTCTCTCCCTCTCTCCCTCTCTCTCTCCCGTCCGCGCGCGCACGCACATGCACACTCGCACGCCCGCTCTTGCTACGCGCCCCGAGTGCGGCCTCCCCATTCTTCTGCCCCTCGATGCTGTGCTGACCCCCAATCCGATGCTTGGCATGTTTCCCGTGTGTGTGCGTGCCTACGCAGCGTGGCCCGGCCCTTCGTCGGGGACTTCCTCAATGTGGCTACCTCTCCCTGGTGGAGCAGCATCGTCGACAGCGAACACGAGTCAGTTCTCTTCTCACATCGGGTGCAGAAGCGCCACCGGTCCAACTTCAAGGCCGTCAATCGGGATCTTGTCCTTACCAGCGAGAACTTGTATGTGCTGAATCGCGACGGCCGGGCAAATGCCAAGCTCAATGCCCGGATTCCCCTGTCAAATGTGACTGGCGTCGGTGCCAGCCTCGATTCGGATGGCGTTCTCCTGGTCCATGTCAAGAACATGCCCAAGCTGGACTACATCTTCGTCATGGCCGAGGGCTTCAATGTGGTGCGTGCTTGGCCGTGCATGGCTGCGCCCCCTCTCCTCGCGCGTTGCCTCTCCCCTGCCCTGCTCCATTGGATGACTGACCCGGGTGTGCTCTGCTTGGTATCTCTCCACCGTGCATCTGACCGGGGGGGCGGGGGGCGCCGGTTTATCTGCAGATCGAGTTCTGCTCGCGACTGTCCCTCGCCTCTCGGACATACAGCTCGTACAACATCCTTTTCAAGATCGCCACCACGCACGAGTACAACGCCGGCGTCAAGTATGGGCCTTGCTCCTTCGGCTTCTTCAACGAGACCAACACCCCGGACCCGGTGTTCAAGCGGGACTCCTCGTCGGCCACCGCCCCGTCGGATGTCAGTGCTCGGCCGGCCCCCATCCGGTGCCTCATCCAGTCGAGTCCCGATTTGTCATCCACCTTTTGAGACACGATGGATGACGGGACGCGAGTGGCTTTCTCCCTCTTCTTCCTCCTCCCCCCCCCCCCCCCCCCTCCATTACACCATCCTTTCCCTTTCTTCGGCGGCCATCCAAGGCCCTTCGCCCCTTCTCCCTCACTCCATGCGCACGGGGGGGGAGCGAGGAAAAGAGATAATATACTTCCCTCCCAACTCCTGTTCACCGAGAGCCACCCGGCGGCGCGATGACACACGCACACGTACACGCACGCACACACACACACACACAGTCTCGATGCGCATGAGTTGTCGAGCGCGGGTCCCTTCACTGAACACGGTATATTTCTCCTCAACGAAGGAGAGACACAGAATATGGCGCTATGTAGGGCCGAGAAGTGGAAAAGGGGCAGAAAAATCGAATGCGCTGCGTGGGGGGTGGAGGGGGGGGGGGGCCTTTGTTTCCTGACACCAACTCATCAAGTGGAGGCCGCCTCGGTCTCAGCAGCGGGCGCATCGGCAGCGGGCTCATCGGCAGTGGGCTCGGTTGGAGCCTCAACAGCTGGCTCGGGGGCCGGAACCGGAGTGGTGCCGGCGGCGGTGGCGGCTGCGGCGGTAGGGCTGGCAGAGGCGCCAATCGAGGAGCTGGCACCCAGCGTCGGCAGGGCCTTGCGGCTGATGCGAATCGAGTGGACACGATCCGGCAGGGTCGTGCCCTTGCTGCCGGCCATCGGCTGGGCGCTCGAATGGATGAACAGCAGAACATGGCGCTCGGGCAGGAAGCGCCAGGTGCCATCGCTCACCTCAACATGGAAGCTGGAAAGGGCCGGGCAGAGGGGGGGGGGGTTAGAAGGGAAAGCGAAACAAGGGAAAGGATCAGGCGAAGGACACCAACACTAGGTGGGGGGGGGGGGGCACAAAGGCACACGCACAACTCCTCGCTTTCACCATAATGGTAAGGCGGCAGGTAGATCTCGGTGGCCAGGGAATCCTCCCCGCCATTGTCGAAGGGCTGAACCTGGGGCCGGCCGTGGGCATCGACTCCGGTGGAGCAGTACCGCAGCTCAAAGACACCGGAATACATGTTGAAGGAGTGGTACATCGGCACGCCGACCGTCTTGATGGCATACGGCCGGGAGGAGGCATGCAGCGATCGGCCGCCGATGTCCAGTCGGCTGCGGAAGAACGGCGGCAGCGGCGCATCGGGGCGCCCGGTTTCCTGGTCCGCCACGCCGGCGGTCTGGCGGAAGAAACAGTGCGGCGGAAGAGTCGTCCGGCTGAATGGCCGGCTGACCATGCTCATGGCGGCCTTAAACATGCTGTGTATCCGGCAGGAGTAGCAGGCGCGGGCGCGGCGGGCGGGAGGCGCCAGCCGAGGAAGGTGGAGTGGGGTTAGAGCGGCTGACGCGGGGCCGGGTCGAACAAGAGAACGGAGGAGAGAAGCCTGGGGGAGGATAGAGAGAGAGGGGGGAGGAGAAAGAAGGAGAAAGAAGGAGAAAGGATCGAAATGGGCATGAGGGAGATAGGCGCACCCAGGCAGGAAGCCCGAGCTCGGAGACTCGGGCGAGGGGAGGAGCGCGGTGGCCCCGCACCCGGGACAGCCGGGCTGCTGGCACTCCTGATCGCGCATAACCTGCGGCACCTCGCCTCGAAGGGGCTGCTGCTCATCGCCGGAGTGGTCCTCAGGACGGGGCCGAGCCACGGTAGTGGCCAGGTGCTGCTCAAGACGCGCACGCGCGCCCGACCACACGGAGAAATCCTCGTCATTCCACATGTCGCCGCCGGTCCACTCGGCGTGAGTGGGGAAGGGCCGATGCGGGTCCAGGCCCAGACGCCCGGCGCCGGAGTTTGTCCGGCAGTATGTCCACGCCGTGAAGGAGGCCAGATTCTGGTCCATGGCCGACAGGGTGGCATCCAGTGCCCGGCAGACGTCCTCCTCCTCGGTGCTCGGCTCCGACCAGATGACCTCCCGCGGGGCCTGGATGCGGGCGCCCTGGCCGAGGTGCGGCAAGCCGGCCAGCCGGCCGCCACCGGCCGCCAGAGGGCCCGGCGCCAGGGCCGTGGCCGTGGTCGTCGAGGCGGCGGTCGCCGGCGCGGCCGAAGCCGAAGGCGTGCCAATCAGAGGCGCCGAGGACCCGAGCCCGGTTGAAGCGGACTCCAGATCGTTGTCGGCATTCGGCGTGATGGTGGCCGGCGCTGGCTGCTGCTCGCCGGCGGCCACCGGGGCGCTGCCGGCGAGAGCGGCGCCGGGCGCAGCCGACCCCGACGCCCCGGCCGTCTGACGCTCCAGCTCCAGGTACGTGGATAGCTCCATCACCGGCAGCAGGGAGGCGATGGTCTGCCGGCGAGCGGACAGCCGCACCCAGTTCGGGCTATTGGCCTGGGCAGTGCGCAGATCATGCGGGGTACCGCACTCGCCAACCAGCATCGGCGCCTGGAAGACCGAGCCGTCGGTCGAGGTGCCATCCTCGCTGGTGCTCCCGCCAGCGGCGAAGGCATCCCGGCCGGCGTCCTTGATCCGGCCCACCTGCACACTGAAGGAGTCCCGCACGGACTGCGGGCCGATCCAAATGTTCCGCAGGACGGCCCCCAAGTTGGCGGCAATGTCGGACCCGGCATCTCCCAGGCCCCCGACATCGATGGTCCAATTGGAGAAACTGCACAAGCACCCAGTCCCGGCGGGCGGGGGAGGGCGGGGGAGGGCGGGGGAGGAGGGGGGGGGGGTCAATTTCGAGAGGGGCCCATGGGAAAAGGGGAAGTCCTTGCAAGGTGGGCAAACCACGGGAGACGCACTGCTTATTGAATAGGGTGATGCCATCATACCAATGCGGGGCATAAGCCACCGGATGCGGGACCTTCAGCTGCTCCGGACCCAAGGGCGGGAGAGTCATGCCGACCTCCGGCTCAAGGAAGACAATGGCCTTTGGCCGGGAGAGGGAGGGGGGGGGGGAGGGGGGGTCCGAGGGAACTGCGGCGGTTAAAAGGGAGGCCCGGGGGAGGTGCGAAAGGCAGGCGAAAAGGAGCGGGCGTGCAGCGCACCTTCGGATCGGCCTCACGGATGGCCGCGGCATATGCCTGGCAGAAGGGCAGCCAGAAGTCCCGACCAAAGTCGTAAGGCTTGCCCTGGTCGTCGGCGCTGAAGTAATCATCGCGCTTGATGAGCTTCGCTTGGAGAGCTATGCAGCACGGTACACACCCAGGGAACCGGCGCAGGCACCACGGGTGGCATTCGGTCAGCAACAGCCAGCAGCACCGGCAGGACCAACACCATGGGAAAGGGGGATAGGGGGCGGTGAGGGGAAAGGAAGAAGGCCCCCAAGAGCGTACCCGGGTCATTGATCAGGGCATCATGCTCGGCCTGGGAGACAGCCCCGCCGGCCGGCGATGCCTGATAGTCCCAGACGCCATTGGCGCGCCAGACGCACCCGCCAGTCGGGTTGGCAGGCGCCGGGCGATCGGTGTGGAAGGCTGATGCGCGTACTGCATTGACCAGGATCGACCCATCGCGCACTGGGGCACCGGTGAGTGCGCTGCGCGAGAAGTAGGGCACCTCGATCGTGTGGCCACTTTTCGCGGGGAATCAGCAGAAGGAGGGGGCGTGTGTGTGTGTGTGTGTGTGTGAGAGAGAGAGAGAGAGGGGGGGGGGAGAGACGGGAAGAGACACAGAAGGGGGGAGGAGCCAGACGCAAGCAGGGGCATGGGGAAGAGGCGCAAGACCGTGCCACGGCCCGAGAACCATGTACCTGGCGAGGAGCATGCCCTGAATGGCAGTCGGGGTGGACTCCAGCTTGAGCATCTGATGGGGGCCCCCGTGCTCCGACACTCGAGGCCAGCAAATGAACCCGCGCGAGGGCTCATTCAAGGTGTCATAGCCGGCCACAACGCCCAAGGGGGCCAGGCGCCGCGCCAGATGGGCAATGGCTCCGATGTAGCGCGCCTGCAGGAAGTCCTGGATGTTGACCAGCGGCCCGGGGACATAATCCGGCCCGGGGTTGGTGGTGTAGTTCTCGGGGATCCGGCACTCCGGGGCAAAGGTGGCCCCTCCGAAGAAGAGGGTGAACATGGTGGCCGCCGCGTACTTGTAGTAGTTCGAGGGCCAGACCATCTTCGGGTAGCCGCGGCCGACAAAGCGCCCGGCCCGGGCTGCCTCGGCATTTTCCTGGCGAATGGCCCGGCGCTCGGGGGTGTGCCCGGCCGCCGGGTGCAGGTGCCAGGTGTTCTGGACGATGGCCGCGTCGCAGGCGGCAAACTTCCTCACCGACAGCCCGACCAGGTCAAAGGTCCACGCCGGGGCGCCGGAGCCGCCGCTGAAGCGCGACCAGACATCCTGATGGGGATCGATGAAAACCCGGATGCCATGGGCTCGGGCCCGGGTCAGGACCTCCACCAGGTACTGGATGTACTCCTCGTCATAGATCCCGGGGCCGGCATGCTCCAGCGCCTCCCAGGTGATGAGGAACCGCAGGAAGAGGAAGCCCCAGCGCCGGAGCCGGGCCAGGTGCTCATCGGCCTCCTCCAGGGGGAAGGGACGCCCGACAAAGGAAATGGCCTCCGTGTTGAAGAAGACATCGGGCGGGGCGCTGGTGGCCACGCCGACGTCACCGTCACCATCGCCGAATTCCGCCCGGGGAAGCGCCCCAGGAGGCGACAGGGGAAGCGCCCCCGCCGCGGCAGCCGACCCCGGCCGCGCGCCATGCCACGCCGGCCGGGTGGGCATCTTGCAATCGCCACCGGTGTTGACACCGCGCAAAAGCAGGCGCCGGCCCTGGGCATCGGCGAAGTGGCCATCCTGGCCGACGGTCACCTCGTCGAGGTGGCCGAGGGGGGGTGTCATGCTGGGAGGGGGAAGGAAAGGAGGACGAGTGCGCCGGGCCGAGGGAGGGATAGGAGATAACGGGGCGCGAGTGCGAAAATGTGGGTCGGCTCTGGGTGAGCGTGTGGTGAAGGGGGGGGGGGGGAATGGGAATGCCGCCGGTAATCCTGGCTCCGGCAAGGCGGTGTGCTTTGGACAGGCGCCAGGCAGCTCGCAACAGGCCCGGGGCCGATGCCGCGCCCGCCACTTGTGGGACCCGGGGGCTGGTGTGGCGGCGGAGGGAGGGGGTCCAGCGTAGTGCCCATCACAGCACCCCCGGGCATGCAGGCCATGCACCGATGTCCAGGGGCAATCGCCCCGCTCAACCCCCCC